AAAAAAAGAAAAGCTCAACTGAAAGGATCAGATTTTTCTCACCTCCATCAGAGTTCTCTGGATCTCTCTGTCAGCCGAAGTTCCCTCAGAGAAACGACGACCGCCTACAGGAAACACAGCAGACCTCATGAGACTCACTTCTACACAGAGCTGCACAAACGTTCATGACAGGTGGAGAAACACTGAGAATTAAGAATCGTTCATAAATACAGCACCTTGAAGACAACTTCATCCTCCTTGAACTTTCCCACATTTGATCACGTTAAACCCAGAACTTCAGAGTATTTTACAGATCAACAGAAAGTAGAACAAAACTGAAGGGGAATGAAAATAATACATGCTTTTTAAAAATAAAAGTCTGAAAGGTGTGGCAAACATTTGTATTTAACAGTAAAGCAGCAAAGAAGTCCCATGATGACTCTGGAGGAGCTGCAGATCCACAGCTCAGGTGGGACAATCTGTCCACAGGACAAACATCAGTCCTGAACTCAAGAAATCTGTCAAGAATTCAGTTCAGTTTATTTATGTAGCACAAAGTCACAACAGAAGTTGTCTCAGGGCACTGAACAGAAACATTCATATATAAAATAATAATTTAACATTATTTATCTGAAGAGCAGACTGCTTTGAATTTAACACCATCACAGAACTGTCGTCTTGAGCAAGCATGAAGGCGACAGTGGAAAGAAAAAACTCCCTCATGAGGAAGAAACCTTTAGCAGAACCAGACTCAGGACAAGTGGTCATCTGTTTCAACTGGTTGGGTTTAGTAGGAACAGATACACAATGGCAGGTCAAGAATCACGTTAAAATAGAAATAGTATCAAATGAAAACTATTCAATTTTAACAATTCATTTAAGGAAATGAGGTCAATTTGTCCTCTAGTAGTTTAAGCTTAAGTCTGCATGACAAGCCGACCCTAACTATAGGATTTATCAAAAAGGAAAGTCTTAAGCCCAGTTTTAAAACTGGATAATGTGTCAGCCTCACGGACAGAAACTGGAAGTTGGTTCCACAAGAGAGGAGCCTGATAACTGAAGGATCTGTCTCCCATTCTGTTTTTGTAAATTCTAGGAACCACAAGTAAACCTGCAGCGAAGTGCTCTGTTAGGAAAATATGGGACAGGGAGCCAATGGAGAGAAACTAAAACTGGAGAAATATGATCTCTCCTACTAACTCCAGTTAAGACTCTGGCAGCAGCATTTTGGATTAAATTAAGATGTTTTAAAGAAGTACTTGGGCACCCAGATAACAAACCATTGCAATAGTCCAGTCTAGACGTGACAAATGCATGAACCAGTTTTTCTGCATCATTTTTAGACAAGATGTTTTTAATTTTAGTGATATTACGCAGGTGGAAGAAGGCAGTTCTAGTAACGTTTTTAATGTGGGGGATAAAAGACATGTCCTGATCAAAAGTAACACCAAGATTTTTAACATTAGAGCTGGAGGACAGATTAATGCCTTCTAAGGAGGGAGAAAGACTGAAAAAATAATTCCTAAGGTGCTCAGGTCCAAAAACCAAAACCTCAGTCTTGTCTGTGTTCAACAGGAGAAAATTTAGGGTCATCCAGGTTTTTATGTCTTTAAGACATGCTTGTAGTCCAAGTAGCTGATTGGATCCATTGGGTTTAATGGACAAGAAAACAGAAGAAGTTCTGTTTGCAGTTTGACACAAACCATGGAAGGACACAGTAACTATAAACGCTCCCCATGACCTTGAACACACCACCCCCACTGTGAAACATGGTGGTAGCAGCATCATGCTGTGGAGATGCTTCAGTTGGAACAGAGAACCAGGTCAGAGCTGACGTGAACATGGAGCTAAATACAGGACAGTCCTGGAAGAAACCCTGTTAGAGGCTGCTGGAGACCAGTCTGAGGATCACCTTCCAGCAGGACAAAGACCTGAAACATCCAACCACATCTACAGTGGAGTGGGTCACATCAGAACATGTTCATGTTAGAACGGTTCAGTCTGAGTCTAGACGTAAATCCAGCTGAGAATCTGTGGAACAACCTGAAAACTGCTGATCATCAAACGCTCCATCCAGTCTGACTGAGCAGCTGCTGATCTGCAGACAACAAGTTTCAGGAGCTGGAAGAGACAAATCCCAAGACCCACAGCTAAAAGTTGTTCTACAAAGGAGGCCTGAATACAAATACACGCCACACTCTTAAGATGTTTAGTAGTGAAACATGTTAAAAACATGGATCAGTTTTCTTCCGCCTCACAGTTAAGCTTTACTTTTGGCAGTCTGTCATAAAACGTCCCGGATAAACACTTTGAAGTTTGACACAATGTGAAAAACGTGAAAAAGTTCAAGTATGAAGACTGAAAGAGTTTCTATTTAATGTTTTTAAGCCGCAGCACTGTGGTGCAGTTGGTGGAGCTGTTGACTCTCAGCAAGGTGGTTGCTGGATCAAATCCCAGCTGGGGGCCTTTCTGGGTGGAGTTTGCATGTTCTCTCTGTGCATGTGTGGGTTTTCTTCAGGTACTCCATTTTCCTCCCACAGACCAAAAACATGCATGTTAGCTCACTGGTAACTCTAAATTGTCCCTAGGTGTGAGAGTGAGTGGCTGTTTGTCTCATTTGTCTCTATGTTTCTAAAGAAGAATCAATAAACAAACAGCACCTGTGCCTTTTGAACACTCAGCTCACAAAGTTAAAGCTTGACAAACAGATTTCAGAGAACAGCAGCTTCTACGTTCCTCCTGAGAAGAGACCATCTCCCCTCACTCCACTCCTGTTACTGATGAGCTGTATGAGCCCAACTCTGTGTCAGTGTGACGCTCTTTAATAAAACAGCTAGTAAATATTTGTTGATGAATAAAGATCAAAGCGTAAAGCTGTCACTTGATTAAAAACACAGGAGGAACACGAGCTCCTCCTCCTCACCTATAGCATCGATCTCATCCATGAAGATGATGCACGGCTGGTGGTCCCTGGCGTAGTTAAACATCTCTCTGATGAGCCGCGCACTCTCACCAATGTACTTGTCTACGATGGAGCTGGACACCACCTGCAACACACACACACCGTGAGTGACCGGTGGTAGAGAAGGAGGAAACCCACCATGATGGGGCTGTGACACCCACCTTCAGGAAGTTACAGTCCAGCTGACTGGCCACGGCTCGAGCAAGCAGAGTTTTTCCAGTTCCTGTTTCACAAATAAACTTTTATTTTGAAACAAGGTCTGTTTTAATTAAGATTAGTATATAAACACTTCGGTGATGAACCTCAGTGTGTCTCTATAATGATAAAAACAATGTTCACCCCTTGTAATGGGAACAGCTACATACCTGGGGGTCCATAAAGCAGGCAGCCTTTGGGGGGGATGATGCCCACCCTCTGAAAGAGCTCAGGGTTCGTCAGAGGCAGCTCAATCACCTGCCAGTCAAATTCAGAACGTTTTAGAGCTCAGAAAACAAAAACCAGCCGCAAGGCTGCACATTAGACAACTTGTTTGATATCATTTAATTTTGTGACGAACGCCAGTTTTCCTCACTCCTCACCTTCTCTCGATCATCCAAACCAGATGTGGGCATCAAGGCCTACACCTGGTTGTGATGATAAAGGCTTTGACTGAATGCAGTCTGAGATGTTTGAGATGTTCAGACTGGTCTTACTGTGTGATGATGGTAAATTTGTGATACAGTGTCCACATCTAATTTAGATGTATTTTATTGTGAAAGGGCACCAATTTGTGTTGTATATCTGCTGTCCAAACATGACCAGTTAAATCCCCTCAGAAACTTCACAAAGTCCTTAAAACGAGCTCCAGTGTCGCACCTCTCTGAGCTCACGGATTTGTTCAGACAGTCCTCCGATCTCGGAGTAGGAGACGCTGCCTGGGTCTTCATGGGACATGTTGTAGACCAGAGGATCCACCTCCCTGGGGAGGTACCTGAAACACAACACAAACAATCTATACACGCTCTACATGAACACAAAAACATTTGTGTATCCAAGTACTTTTCAAACATTTCTACCTTTAAGAACATCAAGAACATTGCAACAAATGTTTGTTCTGCACAAAGTTAAACCATCTGGTGACCACTTGAATTTTACTGATCTGATCAAGAAACGAGCAGCAGACTTCTTCAGCTGGTTGACTGTAGAACAACCAGCAGTGAATCGTGTCTCACCTCATGATGGTGAGCGTGGTCATGTCCAGAGCCACCCTGGTGCCGGGCTTCAGCTGGGACTTGTCCAACTAGAACCAGAAAACACACCTGAGCACCAAAACCCACAAGCAGCCTCGGCTTCAATGGTTCTTTGGAGGGAAAACAGGCAGCTGATTCTTTTCACACTTTCACACAAAACAGCTTCAACACAAAATGACATAAAATACTACAGAAACAAGCGGAACACCGATGTCCCCCAACACTGAGGGACTTGAATGGTGAACGTTTGTACGGTAGTTTTCGAGATAAGTGTTTTTCTGGACTAGAATTGAACAGAGAATGTAAGTAACCCTTAATGTTTTTGCTGCAAGATGTTCAAGTGGATAGGAGTTAAGCCCCCAATAGACCCCCAGTATACACCTGCATATGTCTGTCTGCGGAAGTACACGCGTAGGGCATGTCCGCGCAAAGATCAATTTTTACGACAACGTACGTGGTGTCGCACAATAAACTGCCCGATGACGGACTGTTTTGTATGCGACACCAATGTATTAAATTCCTCTTCTTCATCCCTGATCTGGTATAACAGCCTTTTATGTTCTATTTCGTATAGGCTTCGCCCTTTAAGGCTGTCGCTGGTGGGTTTTATCCCGTCATGCAAAGCATTACACTGAAAAGTTTAGTCCACGCCCACCTGCTGTGTGGGCCCCACCCGGTCCGTATAAATTACGTTAAGAGCGGGTAATCGGCTCCCAATTTTCTTCAGCAAGCTAATAGCAATGACCTTCAACAAGATGTCCAGCTCCAACACCAGCCGCCTGTGTCCGTCCTGCAAGACCGGCTACTTGCTCAGTTTTGACCGGCACGACACTTGCGAAGGATGCCTGGGTCCCCGCCACGTCGCCCACGCCTCCTCCTGCCGCCTCTGTGACGACCTTCCTCCGGAGGAAAGGCAGAGGAGAGCAGCCTTGTTTAAGGCTAACGTCGAGGACTGCCTGTCCATGGCGGGAGAATGTTCGCTGGACGATGCGATCGACTTATTCGACGCCGGTTCTCAGAGCGAATCGGATGGTTCCTCTGGGACAGGCGATGTCAGCAGCAGCCCCGATGCTCGCTCCCTCCCAGAGAGAGTAGTGTTGGAATGAGGGGGGGCGAGCGGATGCTAAACCCCTCCGGGCTTTCCCGCCTCAACGGCCACATCGCTCCCTGCCGTTGGTGCCCTCCTCTCGAAGCTGCCCAACATTATCCGGGAAGCTGCTGACATGAAGGCACTTTCCGTCCCTCTCCTCCCCCCGCCCAGATCGGATTATCTAGCGGGAAGGTTTGGCTCCACTCCGGCTCGCCGTCCTGATCCCATCTGGCCTCTGTTTCCAGTGGTGGTGTTCTACTGGAACGAGGCTGCGGCCGGTCCTGGTAAATTGAGAGCGCCCATCTCCACTTTCGCTCCATCACCAGAGTGGAGGGGTTCACAGAGTGGAACTTTCCCTTGGTACCCCCCCGGAGCCGAGCCTGGCGGAAGCTTTCGGAGCGAAGCTGTCCAGGTTGGAGCAGTTTCCCATCCCTCCTGGGAAACATGACCAGACGGTGACTATGCTCTCCAATCGAGCTCACCAGTGTGCGTTTCAGGCAGCCGCAGCAAACAACAACGTGGCGCTGTTGGCGTACAGCGTGTCCAAGAGGCTGGAGGCCGCAGATCTGCCTGAGGTGACCAAGAGCTACCTTTGCAAGGCGTCTGATGTCATCCTCAACATGTGTGCCTCTTCTGCGGTCTGCCTGTCCCGAATTGCAGCGTGGATGACGATGATTCAGAGATCCACCTGGCTCCGTCATTGCCAGAAAAACTGCACAGAGACCTGATGGAGGGCCCCATCACGACGGACGCGCTGTTCGGGAGCAGTTTCAAGGCCATACTGGAAAACTCGAAAAAGTCGGAGGAGGTGTCAGAGACTGTGCGCCACCTCATCAAGCCGCGCGTCTCATCCCGCCCCCCGGCCCGCTGGAAGGATCGTCGTGAGCAGAGACCGCAACAACGTTCCACGGCCGCAGCAGCGTCGTCTCGCTCCGCTCCACCGCCAGCCCTGCCCGTCAGAGACCAGCCTGCGGCCTCACATAAATATGAGACCGCAGGACGGGTCCAGTGAGAGACCTTGCTCTCAGCAAGAGCAGCACGTGCCTCACCGAAGTAAACGCGTGCTTCCGCGGCGCTTGCAGCCTTCACTCAAACGGCATGGCGTTGATGAAGGCACGCTCGCCCGCTCACATCAGCATAAACGTGAGACCGCTGAACGAGCCCAGTAATGAAACTCCCTCCCAGCAGGAGCGGTGCGCGCCCCACCGAAAAAAATGCGTGCTCCCACGGTGCTTGCAGCCTTCACTCAATCGGCACGGCGTTGATGAAGGTGCGCTCACCGCTTCTCAGCGCTCGCCCGCTCAAGTCAGCATAAATGTGAGACCACAAAGCGAGCCCAGTTAAGGACCTCGCTCTCGGCAGGAGCGACACGCGTCTCACCGCAGTGGTGTCAAACGCATGCTCCCGCGGCGTCAACAGTTTTCACACGCCTCTCCTAAACACACGCCTGTCCACATGGACATGAATGTGGACCTGCAGTCCGAGCGCAGCACACAGGCGCGCTCAGAGCCCTTTTGAGGAAGCCTTACCTTGGGTCATGCGGAACACACTCCCACGGTATATGTTGGCGGTCGAGGCGGTGGACTGGCTGACATCCGTAGAAAACATGACGCATCACCTAAACGCGCGCCCACTCCACGAACGTTACGCGGAGTGGCTGCGAACATGCTCGCCAGACAGATGGATGACCAGGTTGTTAAGCAGGGGTTACATGCTACAATTTGCAGCCCGACCCCCTCCGTTCGGAGGAGTGTTAGAGACGGTCCTGTCATCACATGACCAAGTCTCATCCCTAAATGCAGAAATCCAAGAACTTCTGGTAAAAGAGGTGATCTCCAGGGTTCCCAACGGAGAGGAAAACACAGGTTTTTACTCAAGTTACTTCCTGGTTCCAAAATGGACCGGAGGAACGAGACAGATTTTGGACCCGTCAGTTTTCAACAAGGCTATCATGGACAGACCGTTTCACATGTTGACAACCACACAACTGTTGGACAACATCCAGAGAAACGACTGGTTTGTTTCCATCAATCTGAAAGACACCTACTTCCACATACCGATCATCCCAAAACACAGAAAATTTCTGTGCTTCTCCTTTCAAGGGATGCAGTATCAGTACAACAGGCTGTCGTTCGGGTATTCCCTCGTGCCTTGTACGTTCTCAAAGTGTGTAGAGACGGCCCTGCAACCGTTACACAGAGCAGGGATGAGAGTTTTGTTTTACCTGGACGACCTGCTGCTGCTGTCACGCTCCAGATGGGAAGCTGCGATGCAGGCTCAGGTGTTGACATCACACCTGTTAAATCTGGGCTTCACCATAAATTGGAAGAAAAGCTCGATTCTCCCGGCCCAGACGATTGTTTATCTGGGAGTGGAGCTAAACTCGACCACCATGAGGGCTCATTTATCACAGATGAGAATCGATGCTCTAAGAGTCCAGCTCCGCCACGTAAGACCGGGCAGAGTAGTAACAGCTGTTTCTGTCATGAAACTGTTAGGAACGATGTCGTCAGCTCACACAGTGGTCCCGCTGGGTTTACTACACATGAGACACCTCCAGAGATGGTTTGCTCGTCTGCGCGTGGATCCGGTAAAACAAAAGAGACGGATGATCACTGTTCCTGAGAACAAACCTCCAACACTGGGAAAACACCCTGGTTCTGTCGGAGGGAGTCCCCGTCAGCAGACCTACGTCACACGTGTCAGTCTTCACAGATGTGCCGTTGTCAGGTTGGGGGGGGACATGCCTATCTCGAGCTGTAGGGGCGCTGTGGCCCCATCACACAACAGCTCATATAAATGTTCTGGAGTGTCGCGCGGTTCTGAACATGATTCAACACTTTGCTCCTTTGCTGTGCTGCAGAATCAACATGTTTTGATTCACACAGACAACAAGGTGACTGCTGCTTACATAAACCGGCAGGGGGATGTGCGCTCAGCCCAAATGTTATACATTGCGAGAAAACTACTTTGTTGGGCACACCAAAATCTGCTCTCCATCAGAGCAGTGTACATCTCCGGTGTAAACAAAGGGGCAGATGTGATGTCCAGGGGCGGTCCACGTCACGGGGACTGGACCGTCCATCCAGATCTGATGGCCCAGACGTGGCAGAAATTTGGCAAAGCAGCTGTGGACCTGTTTGCGACACGCGAAAACGTTCAGTATCAACTATGGTTCTCACTGAGCCCGCGAGATGAACCACCGCTGGGGGTTGACGCATTTGCTCACAGCCCATGGCCCAAAACGCTTATTTACGCGTTCCCCCCACCTCCTCTGATTTTATGGTTTTTGAACCGAGTTCAGGAGGAGGGATTGACAGCTCTCCTGGTGGCTCCCGAGCGCGTGAACCCACCATGGTTCCCAGTTCTACAACACCTGTTATTGGGGTGCCCGTGGAAACTGCCGTGGAGGGAGGACGCTCTCCTCCAGGTGGGAGGAGCGATCAGGAGTTACCCAGAAATAGGCTAGCACCTGTGGGTCTGGCTGCTGAGCGGATCCGCTTAGAGAGGATGGGTCTCCCACAAGATGTAGTGCGCCCAATCCAGGATTCACATGCTGCATCTACCACAGCGCTGTACACATCAAAGTGGGCAGCTTTTCAGCGCTGGTGTACAGAGAAAGGTGTAGAGGCCAAGTCATGTCCACTAGGCGACATGCTGTCTTTTCTGCAGCAGCTGATGGACAGAAATTTGGCGTTCAGCACAATTAAAACGTACGCTGCAGCCATCTCTTCCTGTCTCGAAGGCTTCGGGGACAGAACAGCTTTTAATCATCCGCTGATTAAGCGTTTTTTAAAAGGTGTACAAAGACGCAGGCCTGTTTCACGCCCACAAGTTCCACAGTGGGATTTAACGCTGGTCTTGCAAGCCCTGATCAAAGCTCCATTTGAGCCTCTGGATCAGGTTCCACTTAAATTCTTGTCTCTTAAAATAGCCCTGCTGCTGGCTTTAACATCCGCT